CTTCTTTAGATGAAAATTATTTTGTTATTTCTTTCTTTTTTTAAAAAAAAGAATTTTGTCTCTCTGAGTCATTTGTGTGCTTCATTGCACATGAAAAATACAATGTTTTGAGGAAAACCAAAGCAGAGCTGCAGACACCGTAGGGAAGGTGAAGCAAACAGGGGCGGCCTCTGCAGATCTCTGCCAAGGCGGGCAGCACCGGGGAGCGGGTTCCTGCCCTTCCGTGCACTGCTGGCAGATGGGCAGGAAGATGGCCCAAGTGCCCAGAGACAGTTGAACCCAAATTTGCAATCCCAGGACTGGGAAACAGCTGTAAGTAAGGAACCACTTCAGTCCATGAGGAAGGGAATGCAAAAACATACCTATCTGCGGGTACACGAGACTTTTGAATTACTTGTATGTAAGTACAGGAAGAGCATAAGAAACTGATGGTTAGCACCTTGATCAAAAGAACGCATTTCTTAATGGAAAACAGCCTGTCATGTAAAACTAGGAAGATTCTCCCAGGGAACTATGCATATGACTTATTTAAACCACATTTCGGAAAGAGAAATGTTTTGTAAAATAAATGGTCTAGTTTATGTGGCCTGGACACCCCTGTGTAGATTCTACTAGTAAGACTATATAAATCCCTGACAGTAATTAGTAAATGAAACCAGAAATGCCTCCACTAAAGACAGTTGTGTAAAATAAAAGTGAAAACAGTGTGGGATCACAACTTGCCCATCATTCCATCCATAGGGCATCATCCTCAGAAAGGCAGTAGCAAGGTTGCCACTGATGTTGCCCAGCTGAAGACAACACCCAAGGAACCAGTGGGAAGGACCAGCAGGGAGAAACAGGAGAAAATTGTTACCCACTCTAAATGAAAGTAATAATAAAATAAGCTTGCTAGTTTGAGTGGGTTTGTTTTGTTTTGAGTTGTTTGTGGTTTTTTTTTCAGAAATGTTCCAGCCTTGGCTCTTCAAGCCTTACTTGTCTAACAAGACCTACCTGTAAACATACTCATGCAAGCAAAACGCACAAGTAGGTGAATAGGTACATCACTGCCTGGTGATCTGTGGTGGATCTGGAGCTCTTTCAGTGGCCTGGGCTACAATAAAACAAGCAGTGATACTCTGATTTCAGGAATAGATTCCACAAAGTCTTTCTTTAGATTTGGGTTTCTCCTTTACATTCTGGCAAGCTAAACAGAGACATAACTCTTTGGCTAATGCTAATGTTGCAGTAGTAAAATATTGGGCAAAAAATAGGAAAACCAGACTCACTTGCCCATAAGAATGATTTAATTAAAGTTTCCACTGTTCCAAAGCAGGTATGTTTCACATCATAAAGAATTTTTCTGTCATGAAAATTATTTTTTTAAGGGGAAGGAGAATTTTGTTTGCAGCAAGCTGACTTTACTGGTAGGCAATTAAATATTTCTTTGGAAACCTCTTCAAAATTAATTACTCATTGATGTGGAAAAAACAGCTATAGTCTTGCTGGGGATCCAGAGGTTTCCAACTGGGTGCATCTAATTCCAAGAAGGAAAAAAAAAAAAGACCTAGAAAGAATATTATAATTACTGTCATACGAAAACCTGCTTCAGTCCAGATGTAGAAGCGGATACCACAGAAATGTTAACATCTAGCAGTTTGCTGCAGGGCAGTGACAAATGAATCTTACATATGTTTGCAGAATGGACATGTTACATGATCCTTGTAGAATCCCTTGGGTTTGTTTTCCGTTTCCCGAAGCTCCTACAGAAAATGCAAATCTACAATAACTGAGGTTATGGACAGTGTCACAGACACCTCTGTGTACAAAACTTGGATCCCAAGCTTGCATACCTAACCAACTCTGTACCCTTGCAAATCATTCCACTGAAAGTAATGAAATTAGTGGCGTGAGTAAACGTGAAGAGAACTGGTTCCTAATACCAGGTTTTCCCCTTCAGTGTACAAAGCTTGTTGCTCTGTGGTGACCTAGGGGCTTGCAGTGAGGACAGAGGATTGTCAGAAGTGTCAGATGTTCCGATCTACGTGGCAAGACAGTCAGTCCTTCGCAACCAGAAATTAAAAATGACAAATGCTATGTGCACAATTCCTCCTGCAGTCAGTAGCAGTTTGCATACAGAAAGATTTCAGAAGCAGTTATCATAGCTAACTTTCCTTTTTCTCCCCAAATTTTATGAATCTGACCAAAGTCCATATGGCTTCAGCCTTAATAAAAAACAATAAAATTCTGGGATGATTTAGGCTGGAACAACCTCTGAGTGACTTGTCTAATCCAAATTATTCCATTTCAATCCAAATTGATTTCATTATCCCTAAGTCATTTATTTAAATAAACGGAGTCAGAAGAGATCACAGAGTTTAATTATTGGAAACATTGGTTGGCACTAACTTTGGAATTAAAATTATTCACTTTGAAGTCCTTAAGTGCACAGTATGACAATACCAGTTGTCAAGGAACATTTTTTCCTTCGTTAAAAAGGACAAGCTGAACATAAAACGGAAGAATGAAACCTTGAATTATCCACATAATTCTTCCTGTCAGCTGGGGAGTTATTTTAATTCTCTTACCAAGTCATTTTACTTTTCCAGGCAGAGATAGGTGCAAGAACTTGGGGACAAATTTCCTAAAATGTAAAAATCTGAAATGACACCAAACAAAGTTTCACTGATTACACGATTATGCGTATTGACTTCACTATTGATGTTCTAGGAAAGCCACTCATAACCGTTCAACTGTTAAAACTTGAGATTGTGGCAGATGCCGTCATTTCCTTCAAAAAGGTAATCAGGCTGGTCAGATATCATTTGCTGCTGCCCCGATTACCTCCTTATCCGTCCCGTGTCTGGAACAAGCAGGGTTTGATAATGGTTTTGCACCTATTTTGCCACAGCTGACAGCATGTTCTAAAGTTGAGTCTTTTCCCCCCGTAACTTTCTCCTCTCTATTTTTAGACTCCCCTTGTACGGCAACTCCTCCATCTCGTCGTTCAGTTTAGCTGCCTTTCTCCAGCTCTTTAAACAGACTAAATCCCTCTGGAGACAAACACTGGTCTGCAGCCATGCAGTCAGAGACATTCTGCTGGAGTGCCATGCCGTTATTCAGACAGCCAAAGTAAAGGCCTTGGTTCACTCACTGATAGCTCAGAAAGATGGAGGAAAAGGAAAAGCAGCAGTTTGACTTTGCAATTTGGAAGCAGTCACTGGGACAGTAAAACAGAGAAAACAGTACTGTATATGCCACGGATCTACAGTGACTGTGCATCAGTCCGTGAAACGGGCTGGAGCCCATCTTGCTTGGAGGTGGCGTAATACAACACTGAGTATGACTTTAGTAAAATATCTGGGAAGGAGACTGTTCAACTATTCATCTTGTACATTACTAGTTCCTTAAATCATTATATTATATATATATGAAATCAACCCTCCATCCACAGAGAAACCTGTTTTGTGCGTGCTGCTGGTATTTGTTTGTAGATTATTTTAGTTTGAAAAGAACTTTGTCTGTCCAGACACCTTAAAGAAGTATCCAGATTTTCCCAAGCAGACGGCAGTTTTAAGAGGAGGTTTGGGACACTACTGGGAGCAGAGATGCTGTTGTAAATCTAGTATATAGTAAAAAAGTTGTATACAAAATTATTTGCTATAGATGCATGTTTTTCAGTTTTTTCCTCTTGGCAGTTCTAAGTTCCTTACTTTCACTCACTGTCCCCCAAAACTCTGTGTTGGAAGGCATTTCAGCATAACAGCTCTACATTAAAAAAATAACTGCAGCTTAGTAGAATTTCTTTACATCTTGCATTGTGCAAGTGGTTATTATTACAAACAGCAGAAAAGAATGTTTCTTTTACTGTGCTCACCTCTACAGCAGCAGTCAAAAGTTGTAGAATTAAAATTCTGAAGCCTCAGTCTCTCTTCAGACCAGTTTATTACGTTGTTCAGGGCAACATCTGACATTTGGCCAGAAAAATTACGTGTAGATATGCAAGCCTCAAATCATCAAAACCATACCAACGATTTAATGTATCTTTTTTAATTATACAAAATTCCCACCCCAATTATACAAACTTTAACAACCACTTAATACAAAACCAATTCCTCTAGGCAAAACAGCAGAGGAATGTACCTTTCATTTTTAATTAAACATTATCATTGAAAATTATAGTATGTATGGATTTGACTAATTATTATGCTAAATGGTGTTTTGTCCTAGTTTCCTAGGCAATCTCTCCACACCTTTGATCCACCACAGCACACTTCCCATACACATGTATAAAGCTATCTACAACAGCCCTTTGAAAACAAATGTACTGGTTTAGTTTCAGCTGTACTGAGTTAAACAACATTGAAATCCTGTATAAACCATCAAGGACATTCAAAATGCTGAAGCCTGTGGGACTTGAAGTGATTCCAAATCAGTCTGTCCCCAACCTGAACAGAAGGTGCCTTAAATGCAGCTCGCCCAGAAAACAATGCGGCGGCACTGGATTTCAGCCTGTATCAGACCGTTCTGCAAATTTCTCCCACACCCTTCTTGACAAGCGTACTGAGCACCTACTGTTCCCTTACCCTGCTGAATCCAGGGAATCATGTTCTCAGGCAGTCAAGGAAATGGGCAACCCAGACTGTCTTCCCATCCTCTCTCACTTAGTCTTCAGGCTCCACATCACTTAACTCATCCCTAATATTCAGAACAAGGTTTCCTTTACAGTAAATTAATACACGAATAACACATTTTTGACTACTGTCATGAACATGAGAACACTAGAGAATGCACGTGGCTCAGAGACCTCGCCCCAAGGTCAGGGAGCCACCTAACCTCAGCAAAGCAAACAAATTCAGAGTCATAATCATTTGCTGCTTCCACCTGCTTAACAGGGAAGGGATTTTACCATGACTCTGGAAAACCTCTTTTAGGAACAAGGGCTTTACTGTGCCAGGGAGGCAGAGCTGTGAGCCTGGTAGCTCTAACATGATCATAAAGGGAGGCAGGGGACTAACCCCCTTCTAGGTGTTGTGACAGCTCAGTGACTGTCACTCTGCCCTCCTCATATTAACAAACACTCTCCTTGGTAACGAAAATAGCTCTGCCTGCTACCCAGCTCTCCTCCAGCCCATTTACTGTTTAGAATATACAGCTTGGTCTCTGCTTGTTTCTTCTGGGGAAGAAGACACTTGGCCAGGTTCACGAACCACCCCTGAATCCTGACTGTCAGCTTCAGTAGCTGAAATAAAGATTAGAAAAAGGTCAGAGTTAAACACAAACAAACAAGCCATACCCCTGAAACCATGTATTTCAGTTTGCATTACATCTGGAATTGTTCACATTTCCAGAGGTAAATTTTCAATACAAAATAACTTTTGTCAATCCAATTTCCTTGTCAGCCCAGTTAATTCAAAGGTAATTGACATCGAGAGCTGCAGCTCTCTGAACCAAGATACTGCACTTCAGGACTGCAGTTGATGGTTTCAACCACGCTTAAAGAAATGCAGCAAGAATGCTGAAGGCAGCAAGCACTGAAGCTGCACTGGAATAGAAGTATGAGGCAGCCTCTTTTGCCCACTTAACCACAGTGAATCCACGCCATGCCTTTTTAACACTCCGGTGAAGTCTCAAAAGGCCTTGACAAAATGAATAATCCCTTCTTCAAATCCAACTAGGTATTTTCATTTTATAAAGTATTCACTTGCCAATTTGCATGAAAAGCTCCCTCATTTCCTCATAGGTGACTTGGGGTTTTATTTGTTTTTCTGTGGCTTGCTCTTTTAGAAAGTTAATCTGCAATCAGACTCAGATGTTGTACTGGCTTTTTTACTGGACATACCTTGTATTTATTTTGTCAAATCTCCATGACGTTACTAGTCAACACTGCATGAAATTGTGTAACAAGATGGCCTATACTGCACATCACCATTGCAAACCTAAGTCACAGAATGTGGCCTCAGTCATTCAACTGTGGTTAACTACTGACTCAAATCTTTCTGGTAGCGACTTCTAGCCTTGGAAAATCTTTTTCAGAGAGGATTTTTTTTTGTTTTTTTCTTTTATTCGTCTTCATCTTGGATTCCTTTTAGGGGAGAGATCACAGACATTTCTCACCAGTTGCCTCCTGCTAGAGTTTTCTTTGTGTATTTTCTTCCAACAGTTTTGCCATAAAGCCCATTTCATCTCAATTCTGGAGGTCTCTTTGGAGGAACGATGTTCCCAAGCCTAATTGCAGGTTTGAGTCAGTTCTTTTCTTGGGAAAAAAAAGATATGATGCAATCCTAACACATCTCTATGCACTAAAAGTTAGAGCTTTTCTCTTTCTTCAAGTATCTTGACTACCTGAATCAAAGAATTATTATTTTCATGGTAGCTTTGTTCTACATCTGCATCTTCTGCTGGCAGGCTATGTTGTCTATGACCTCATGCAGACGTATCCCTCCTCACTGGGTCACAATTGCAAATTCTTGCATATCCTGGAGCACAAATACTATGCTGCGGAATTAAATTGTACTTTCTCTGTGGTACTAAGAAAATAGGATTGTTCTTGGAGCAGCACAATGCATGATGCATTGTTTCCTATGGCTTTGTGCCTGGGTTGTGATTTCCTCAGTGTGTAACAAGGGCTGAGGTCATTAGATGGCATTTTGCTCTCTGGGGGAGAGGTGCTCTTGTGACCTCCCTTCTTTATCCAGTTGCCTGTTTTCATGATTGTTTGGCCAGGACAATTTTCACTCTACCAACACAGGACTAGTTTTCCTCACGCAATGCCAGTAATTCTCTCCATGTCCCTCATGTTTGTCTCCTATGTCCAGTTGCTTCCCGTTCCCACATACTCAAATGGAATAGCTGCAGCCCCCTACATGTACTGCCACCGCATTATGGTTCAGGTATTTTGTCCCTGCCAAATCACAAAACACATTAATCCTCACATACACATTCTGGTTTGCCTGACAGCCCTCAGTTTCTTCTCTTCCCCTCAAACTTAAGCCTGTATTAGTTCACCTCCATCACACCAGTGATCTCCTACATGTTCCATGAAAGTCCTAAGTCAGTATCTTAAAAGAACTTCTAAATTTCTGCGGTGTCTGCACAGCCCCACCACTGCCATATTCTTCATATTCCCCTTGCCAAAATTTCTTTTGCATTCCAGCCAGACAAGAAGCAGGTATGCTCTGACTGCTCTGCAGATACATGCCCACTGCTGGGCTGACTGGCAGGCACTTGGTTGTTGGCCAAGGTACACACACACACGTCAGTCAGGAACTGAGTGCAGGCTGACAGCCAGCCAAACACCACGACAGGGCTGCAAACAAACCATTTTGTGGGAGGCATCTGTTTCCCTTGCAGATCAATATTGTGTAGGCCTGGGATCACAACAGACATGTTTGGCTGAAAATAACTAATCGGCCGAAAAGTTATGAGAGGACTGACATTAACAGAAAATGAGGCTGCATGAGCCTTATGTTGTCGAGAAACCAGCCCAAAAATAACCCACCTTACACTTTGTCCCACATAACCACCATCACCATTTTTTCAACTCAAATTCTATAATTATACTCCTCACTTTCTCTTCCCTCTTATAAAAAAAGACATTTGATTTTTCACTGGGTGATTATTGTAATTTGTTTCAAAAACAGTCAGATTAATTTTTTTTATTCTTATGTTAAAGAAAAGAAATAAAGTTGCATTTGGTTTTGTCCGTTTTTAAAAAGAATTTAAAATAAAACTGGCTTTTCTCTCATCCAGTGTTAGTTGTTAATTCTCTGAGCAGCTCTACCCTCTTGTGGTCACAGCTAGCTGTAGCCAAATAAAAACTTGCAAATATAATCACAAATACATGCAAATGTAGGCACAATACATGAAACAAACCCAGAAGAGAGGGGTACAAAGACTTAACCTATGCCAGAAATTTAAAATCCCGTGAGAGTCAATAAAACAACTTGCGATTTTGAAGATTCAATCTTTCATTTACAGCAATTAAAATGCAGAATTGTGAGATGAGCAAGAAAATTTCTATTATGCATGCTGTTAGTCTGCATTTTCTTAAACCTTTTGTCTAAACTTCAACAGAGCCAAATAACTTTAAAAATATTTCCTCAAACTAGCTCTTTAGAAAAATATTTTCATTTTGAGAGCATCAATAGCTCTTACTCTGGAAAAGCTCAGAGTCCTCAGACGTTCAATACCTACATGAGATTGAGGTGCTTGTCAGCTGGAAAGCCCAAACTTGTCAGCCTGCTTCCCCTAAAAGTCCTTCCAAGAGCTGTACAAGCTGGCAATCCATTGTTGCACTTCAGGATCTCAGTCCTGGCTCCATCACAGGGATCTGGGAATCCCTGTAAACTATCTGGAATCAGGGTCTCTTGGGGCTTCCACCTCTGTTGTTTGATATTGAAACCAAATTAACACTGAATCTCCAAGGGCTCATCTCGTACTTCCTTACCTTGTACTTCCTTGGTTGTTTCAGCCAACTTGTTCAGTGAAAGGGGAGGTGGAATGTAATGAATCCCTGGCAGAAAACCTGGTGGGATGAACGGAGGCAGAGGAGTGTAATATCCTTGATGGAAATCTCCACCTCCATCTGGAATCTGCAGAAGCACACGAAGCAAAGCATCTTTCATTTAAAGATTCTTTCCAGGATACATCTGCAGTATCAGGCAATTTCTGTTTCCATTTTTACCTGTGAATATTGCAATTTTATCCATTTTGTGGCCATATGCTGCCATGTCCATGCATGTATTGAGCACATGCAAAGCCTGTGCATAGCGTAACATCCTGAAACTGAGAAGTAGCAGCTTCTCAGACCATGTCAGCTGAAACCAACCTTCTAAGTTGTCATCACTTGTTCTGGCATCTTATTAGAGCAATTGATTTAAACGAGGAGCACATCACCTTCACCACTGACCCAGTGCACTTGCCACTCAACAAGTCTGGTAGTCTTCAAGCAACCTGGGAAGATGCTCCGTGCCACCATCTCCCTGCTAGTTATGGATTCTCCCCTGAGCCCTGTGAAGTGAGTGGCTACCTATGCAGAGGGGCTAGTGTGCACCACAGGGGACTCCACAGTCCAGGTTTTCTGTGATCATCAGATCTGTTAGAGCATAACACTCATTCCAGGAGCAAGGATTCCCATCCCTCAAAAATAGTAGCATCAGAGAAAAGTGAGCATTTTCTCTTGGATCTGGCCATGTGCACCCTGGTACAGACAGAATTTGTATGAGATCTTTCCATCTGTTTTAGGATAGTTCAAAATTAATTTCAAACCCACTTACAGTGAAGGTCTAGATAAGGCATTCCCCAGTCTCTGTATATCCAGCCCACCAGGATAATTTATCTTCACCTCAGACTGCTGCTAGCCACCAGTTTATTAAGTGTTCAACTGCCATAATCAAAAGGCTGTTGCAGATGTTAGCAGGACATATAAGCCGTAAAGTGCTTCACAAAATCTGGCCCCTTGCATGCATTTCTTCTTAGGGGTTCAGGTCAGACCAATAACACTACTATTTGCTAATGTTTTCCTCAGCATAAGATATCGAAATGCTGTGAAGCAGCACATATCCTGATAAGCAGGATAACTTTTCATGGGTACTTTTAACAGCAAGAAGGCAGCTAAAAGTAAAGACAGCAGTGTTTTCAGAGGTAGTTAAAAGACTGCTACTTACTGACACAGAAGCTGCATTCCCTGGCCCATAGTTGCTAGGAATGTGTCGGAAACCTCTCTGAAGTGAAATCCCTGGAGGTGATGGTGCTCCCCTGCAGCTTGACTCATTGATGGCAAATCCCACAGGAAATGGGTGGCAAGGATATACCCCAGAACAGCCAGGGTACACTTTTGTAGGTTCTCTCTCCAGGTATTCTTGGTTGACCATATATTCTGGAGGAAAAGCAGGGTGAGCTAGGAAACAAGGAGAAAAGAACAAATAAAAGTGCCCATGTAATTCTATGGAGTTCAGTAGAAGCAACTGCAGGACCAAATTCCATTCTCAGGCAGGAGAATCTGGCCCTTTGGTTTTATGCTTAGCTCCTCATGAATTCATTTTGTGATTTTTTTAAAGGAACTAAGGAAAGGTGCAGCAGATGACAACGAAGGTTCTATGTTATTTTCTGCCTTGTTCATTATGAGGTTAGGCCTTAGTAACACACTGGCTGCAGAATCTTATTTTTTCAGTAGATGAGTAACAGCAACACATCTCATCTTAAGACTTCTAGCTAGCAGAATTTAAAACAAAAACCTACAGAAATCGAGTTCTAACTTCAGTTTTATCTGTCACTTCTTAAGTTAATTTACAGACAAAGGCTTAGTTTTACATATACAGGCAATTTCATATATTTCATATATTGCCTGCATATATACAGGCAATTTCAGATGCCGGAATCAGTTACTTTGTTTTTTATCTTGGATTTGGAATCTTATATGGCTTCTCTGAAGTCTAAAAAAAAAGAGTGATTATTTGAATACGAATAGGGTCTTCTTGTCTGTACATCCTTCTGTTGGCAGAGAAGTGGAAGAATTTGCTTCAAGAGTAGATTGACTTCTGGAGACTACAATTATACTATTTGTCCCTAACCTTTTTTGTTTTAAATTGGTCATCAGGTTAAAAATCTTATTAAAGGAAGGTCTGAAAGGCACATGTACAGCTAGTGTTATCCATAAATATAATTTTTGTACAAAACAAACCTAAAAAGGGGAGGGGGGAACAGTTATTGACAGATTAGGTGGGAACTAGGGATGTATGAAATGAGTCTTTCCTCTGGGCTTCTCGGAACAGCATCTTGTCTTGCAGGCTGCCAACTCTCCAGAGGCTCAAACTAATGACTTCAGCAGTCAGTGGGGACTTCCGTAAAATTACTACAGTTAAGTAGTAGTAGTAGTAGTAGTATGAAGTTACTGTAATAAATAGTAATAAACTGGACATGGCACATGAAAGACTCTATTAAAGGAAGCAATTTAAGAGGTGACAGACCATACAACTGTTCTGCTTGCAAAATCTAGGCTCTGTTCTTAAACACAAAATGCACTTTTACACCAAGTCATCCCGGCCAAGTTCAATCTTTGCTACAGGAATTAAGGCCAAAAGGTCTCCTGCTTTTACAGTGCTATCATAAAATGCAACTGCAGCAGTAACTTCCCCATTAGCTGCCATCACTGGGGTTTTTAGCAATTTTGCTACTGGAGGCTTGTGCCTGTGAATTTATAAACACAGAGGCAGCACTCGCAGAAACATGCACGACCACTTCCAGTGCACAGTGGATCAGTTTGATTTCCCTCCCAATTTCCCTCTCTGAGAAAAGCCACTTGCTCAAGTTTCCACTTTGCAACGAGCGGGGAGGCTGAGCTCCTGCCACTGCAGAGCCTCATGACCCGCATTGCAGACCCTGCAAAAAGGCAAAATAAATACAGGGTTGAACATTCAACATGCAAGCCGAGTACCTGCATCCACTGAAGAAGGAAAGCAGGAGAGGCAGCGGGAATAGCTTGCGGGTGAGCTGGAGCCTAAGGAATCAGTGGGGGCCAACCGTGCAAGTGGCAGTGTTTGATGGGGGAAGAGGAGGATGGATGAGGAAAAAGAGATGGTGGGACAGAGGAAGAGGCTTTGGGGACTGGCTCTTACCGTAGTCCCAGAAGGGAGGGCCGCTGGGAGGTGGTGGCAGTCCCCTGCATGCCATGCCTTTGCTGTTGCTGCCAGCCGGCTGGGCGCCCTTCATCCCCTCATGGTGGCTCTGCTCAGGGACACTGGCTGCCCTGGCAGCAACCCCAGGACCATCACCCGAAGGCGCGGGCCCTGAGTTTGCCCCAGATCGGGGGTCGGGCACATCGGGCACCTGCTGCCTCAGGGCCTTCTGGGCTGCCATGATCTTCTGGCGCTCAGTGATGAGGGAGCACTTGTCACACCTGCAGAGCTTCCAGCGGCAGTGGCCGGCATGGCCCTTCACCGGCACCACAAAGCCATGGTTACGGCAGCGGGAGCACTTGGGTGTCCGCAGTGCTGCTGTTGCTGCCACCGCTGCGACCTCCTCAGCTTCCATGGCCCACCAGGCCCAGCTAACCACCAGGGCACACCCAGCCTGGCTCCTTTTATATAGGGCATGGCCACTCCTGCTCCCCGGGCATGTAGCAACCTAGGCAGGCGGGGCAGAAGAGTCCATGACCACGGGTGGGGAATGCCCTGCTCCAGGGAGCCTGTGGCACAGGAGCTGCCCTGACCTGGCTCAGCCAGCACAGCTGTACCTGCCTTTCTCCCCCTGTGGTCCCGTGGTGTGGGCTGGAGACAGACCTCTGCTGGAGAGGGAGAGAGCGGGGCGGGGGGTGCTGCATCTGCAAGTTTCCCTGTGCTGGTGCACGCAGAGATGGGAGTTTGGGACGGGTGGGGTGCGCGTCAGAGAGAAACACAGTGTCCCTTACAGTACTGCCGTAAGGGAGACCTCTCTTTCATACCCCGCATGCATTTGCTTTTAATTTTAATACGCACAAGAGTTCAGTTCCATTTTGTTTCTGCTTTGCAGCATGTTTCTCCAGGAGGAGTGACTGCCTCAGCAGAAAATAAACAGTTTCATCATTCTGTTTTTCAAAACAAGGTACTATGATGAAGGTGGAAAGCACATGTCATTCGAAAGACCTGTCTCCTTGTCTTGGAATTCCTTTTGCTCTGGAAACAAAGACAGGCTTTCAATTAGTAACACAGGAGTGCTCCAGTTGCAGTATTGCTTAGAAAACGCTTCTTATTTTTTACTGCTGGTAGCTACAAAACCATGGTTTACACAGTAGCCCATTTCAAGAAGAAAACTCTCCACTTTGCCGTGTGAGGCACAACACTGCTGATTTTTCTCACATATGCAGTACTTCATTCTGTTTGAAAATCCTGAGATGCCAATAGCTTCTTCTACATTAAAGAAAATACTATAAAAATAAACCACTAAGTAGTTGTGAACATTTTACCAATTAGTTTCAAGAGAACCATGTAACACTTAACTGCTGCTCTGAAACAGTTCTAATTGGGAACAGAGAATGTTTGGCAGCAGCCTTGCAGAAAACCCTCCTTCAAGACTGGGGTGCACCCCTCAACACCTTGGGGGGTGAGGCCCCTACATAGCAGGCCCTTTACGACATTTAGCAATGGTCTGGTTTACCTTAGCAGTGAGAAGCCAGCCCCTGTGCCCTGCAAGTCCCTAAGGCTCAACCTAGATTTAGGCTTCTCACTTTGCAAAAGACCCAGTAGGACTTTGCATCTGACTCCTGCAGGTTTGCAGCAGGATTTTGTCTCCTGGGGAGATGTTTTCATAAATTTAATACCTGCATACAAGCCTAGACTTGCTCTCGAAAGCAATTTGGACCCAAATTCTCAAAAGGATGCAATCCCTAGACCACCCAGAACAGCAGAAATCCCAGACTGCGGATTTTGCTGTCCCAGAAGCAGATGGAGTCTTTGGTAGCTGCTTTTTGTGAGGGGCTCTCAGCGATGCCTTTGCAGCCCTGCATTCAGGGATCCAGTGCAGGAGCAAGGCCAGATTTGCCCAGGCACACGGTGGGTTGCGCAGGAGAGACCACCGCAGTGCTCTCTAGAAGCTGGGTGCTGGGCTGCCTGCGCGGCTGCCCCTTTGTGAGTGGGAGGCAGCAAAGCACACACACGAATGTCATCAGCTCCCCGTCTTCAGTTGCAGACCATTTTCCCCAGAATACTCAAAGCACGGTCTCGAAAGCCAGCTTCATGTGCATGTGCGCATTGTGACTAAATATCTATGAAAATCTGACCTGAAAATGTTACCATTTCTTTCTAGCTCGGAAAGGTACTTGGTTCATGTGCCTTCAAGGGAAGCTACTCTTAAATGTAGTCTTGAAGTGCTGCTCTCTTGTGCCAGGGCCCCAATGTTCCTGTAATCATTCTAAACATTGACTGTGCATTAAATATAGACAGATATTATATACCTAATTTTATGCTCTATATTTTTGCTGTATGTTGAGGATGTGTGCATTTAGCTGTAGAATGAAAGAGGGCAAATGACACATTTAAAAAAACCCTTTAATTATATCTTCCTCTAGATGCACAATCTGTGTTCATTTGGGTACTTAAGCAGTGGAGGAGAAAGGTAAGCTATGTGCATTTTCTCCAGTAATTTTCTAGTCTGAGTCACATAATACTATTATTCAAGACATTTTCAAGACATTTCTTCAAATATACTTAACTTTATCTCTCTTCTCTCTCTTGAAAATGTATACCAGCCGTGGGCTGTAACAGTTTCTCGATTCATAAACCAGGTCTTTCAAAGTCATGTGGATTTTTCTTTTAAGCAATTTTCACCTAAGCATTCAAGTTTTGGTATACTCTCCAAAGAGTTTGTTTCAAGCATAACTAGACTTGCTTTTTATAGAAAAGCAAACATTTTACTTTGATTGTGAGGTAAATATTTATTTCTACAGACAGTTCAAAGAATTTTGCTATTCTAATCCTGTTATGTGTTTATATATACATTTGAGCTAGATTATCACACACTGTTAGCAAGACCATCATACAGAAAAGACAGAACAATTTCAGAATAAAGTTTTGAAATGAGATATAGAGTTGTCTGTGGATGCAGCTTCATATATATTATTTTCTTCTGTATTCATATTTTAAAGAAAATGAGCTACAATAAAGGCTCTTTAAAACTTACTCAGTTTACTCTAGCATTTTAAGTAACGTATGGTGGGAGTGTATTTCTGCATTAAAATAGCATTTATAGGAGTTGTTATCTTGCCAAAATGAAAGGAAAGCAACCTGCTGACTTCATGTTATGGAATGCAATAGCAATAGCAAAATGCAATTTGCAATAGCAAAAATGTCTCTACTTCTTTCCAACTTCTGAATTCTTTAAAGTGTGTGGTTTTGGAATGCAGTTTGCTTTGTACATGAAACAGTGAAGAAAAACAATTATTTGGCTAAAAGGGAAAAAAATGAAAGACTGCCTTTAAATTGAAGAGCAGAAAATTTGGTTTTGGTTTATTCCTCCTCAGACTTTCCATCTAACATTTTGTGCAGTAAATGTTTTTTGCCAGGGAGATTGTTCTGCTTAGATATGACATTTCACAGAGCAGTAGCAACATAATCAAAAATTTGGTCAGTCTGAGATCTCCATTAACAAATATTTGCAGACTGGGTTCAAAATAAATATTTTGTTACGCATAACAATCTAATAGTCGAGAATATCTTTTAAACTTTTAAGATATCAAGTATGAAAACAAAATTCTCTTTTCAAAAATTACCTTAGTAGTTTGGAAACTTCCATTGTGCAATGTCATAAGTCATTATAAAAAAAATTATATAGCAATAGTATTATCAACTCTTCTACATTTTAACTGATAAGTCCCATGTTTATTGCTGTCAGTTATGGTATAATCAACAAGAGGACATTTACCTGCACAGGCAGAACTGCCCAAGGATTTCACATGCTCCCTGCTACTCCACACCCAGACCCCTTCTCTTATCCAGTCCTAACACATACCTTGGCTCCTCCTGTGGATATTAACTGATCTCCCAGCATCGCTCACTTTGCGGTTTACAGGGAGGCTGCTGTGGCCTCCTGCACTGGCAGGAGCTTGCAGGTTGATTTCCAGTCTCTCACTCAAGTCAGGCCTGGCCCATAGCCTGCCAAGAAATCTAAACTGCCAAGGAACATCAGTACTCCCTTCTCTGTCTTGTTTCTGGGAAGAAGCTGTTTTCATGTCTTTACGTATCCCTGGTGTATTCATTCATTAAAATACAGCTTGCTTATCTCCCCATTGTTCTGCAGCCATGTCTCTTTTGTCCACACACGTGGCTGGAAAAACAGGCTTCCTTCCCCTCTTGTCCAGATTAAGATGGTGCAGTATCCTTTCCTCTGAACTCCCTATGTGTAATCTTTTCCCACTCTTATACACTCAGAAGCCTTTGGCAAGATAGTTCTGGATTATGTCGTGCATCCCTTTGCCTTCCTCCCATTTCTCTTTTGCATTGGTTACATCCTGCTTCTCTTCCCTTTCACAAGAAAAATCCTTTTCACAATTTATCCCTGTCATACCGGTCAGCCCACATTCGCTGTCAAGATGCAGATTCTCACCTTTACCTGGCCCAGAATATCATTTTACTAAGTGGAGTTGGTAGCACACCTTCATGCTGTCCTCTGTAGCCATCCTCATATATTTAGAAGCTCCTTATAAAAAACATCAAAGCCTTTAAAGCATCCTCTGACTGACCTGCATTACAAAATCTCCCTTTCACCATTGAGCTAACACTAGTGCATATCCATCAAGGCTATCTGTCACAGATTTGCAAGGTTCAGCTCTCTGCTGACACGCGTCTGAAGTTGTCTAATCCTGCCCAAAGCAAGCCTACGTGACAAGGAATAAAGTCCTTTGAGTTGCTTCTGTAGACGGTATTTTCCACCTTTCTAGTCACTGTGAAATTGTACTATCGTAAATATTTTTTTAAAAAATGTGAGGAAAAGTGCAGTATAGAAACAGCTCAATATGATTAGATCATATCTACCTTAAGACTTGAAATGGCTAAAATGTGTTTGTGTTACACTGTTTTTCAAATTAGTCCAGCGTTAGTTGTTTAAATTGATATAAAAAGAGTCATCTTTTCAGTTCTCTTTCAGTGTCTATTCATTTGCTTTAAAATATTGTCTTCAGTAAATTCAAACAGGAATTCCACTGGAGTGGATTTTTTGTTGTTGCTACACAAGTTTTAAATGGAGCACAGTTAGATGTTGATTTTCATGTCCTAGATCAAAAAGGTGAAACTCTGTGCTGTGATCACAGAAAATTGCATGGAATTCATATATAAGTTTAAAATCTTAAAAAAAAACCATAAAAGCTATACAAAGCACTTCTGGTTTCTTTAACAAACACAACTAGAATAAAGCTTGAGCACTTAAAATTGTGGATCTTTTAAATACATAAGAGTAAAACTTAGTTCTTAAATATTAACAACAGAGACTTTATTAGTATGACTGCTCTTTGTGGGTTTTTTGTAACAAGATCTTTATTTAAGAGAACAGCAATAGTGATTAAA